AATGGCTTGGGACACAATCATCAGAAAAACTCACTTGTGTTATTTCCATAAGCCCACAATGCTAATGGCCCTGTAAATAAAAATGCATTAACAACATGTCGCTTTTCAAACTAATTGAGATGCAGCGTGAAGATTACTTCTCAGAAATATGATGTTCTTTATGCAGGAGATCATGCTGGGCCCTGCTGCAACAAGAGCCACTGGGATAACACTGTATTTTGTTCTAACATCTGCATTTATTACCAGTGAGATACTTTATGTGACATTACGAGGTGGCTTCAGACTTGTAAAGCCCTTGAGAATTAAACACTATTGTTCCATGAAAGGAACTCTTCTGCCCAGCACAGGCCCTTACGACTGAATCAGCAGAGAAGGCCTTTAAAAGAGAAGCAAGGAAATAAACTGGATATTCTGCTGATGATTTTTATGACCTTGCTCACACTTCTGCTGATGCTGTGTTAGCAAGAACAGTTCATTCCAGCAAATATAATCTTAGCTCTTGTGATTATGGACACAGGTTTCTCTAAAACCTCTAAAATCAGATGCAATTTTTTTAGAGTGCAGAATTGTTAGCAAGTCATGGGTTCTTAGCCGGTGCCATGATTTCAGGAGCCTGATTCAGAGTTTTAAGCACTTGTGATGAAACTGGGCTGCACTCAACATAAATTTACTGATTCAACATACCTGTTTTTTTATGGGAATTGGCATTGCCATCCAAGAAACAGGAAGCACACTGATGGATTCTTAGTCTGGTTTTCAGCTAAAGCCCCAGCTTGAATAATACCTTCAGCTTCAAGCACCAAACTTTAAGATGTAAGAGGAAAAAGGTCCAGAGAAAGGAGCAATAGAATTATAAAGATGTTTAGTAAACAGAAGTTTTGTTGGTTTTTTCATTTTTTTTTAAAGATGAAAGGCTTTGGGTTTAATTAGTCTAAATCAGAGAAGGCATTTATTTTCCCCATAAAAATTTTCCCCCCCAAAAAAAGTGTATCAGCAATCTGATATATTCCACAGTTTAATTTGCTGCAAAGAAAACTGAAGTGGAATTTTCTGAATGACCTTCTGAGGGTCCTTTCAAACCTTTACCTCTGTGCTTCTCCTGTGGCTCCATCACCGACAAGCACAGCTACTGACAGCTCCTCAGGCTGGATATTTTTCCTTGGGGAAACCTGATTTAAAAGTCGTGTTTAAATCCAGTGGACAGAGCCTAAGGGTTTGTCTTCCCTACCTTTACTCATCTAAAACCGAGGCCTGTAAATGTGGCTGGACATGTCTGCTCCCCCTGCAGTGACTGAGGAGAAATAGCAACAGAGCGCTTCACAGTGGACAATTTCCAGATCATTAAAATTTGATGAGATAAATCCCACTCTAACTTGTCTCTGAGCATTCGCTGTTGGGTTTTGCCTTCAGCTGGCTGATGACACATTAAGCAAGCACATGGCTTCATTATTTTGCTGTACTCATGAAGACGAACCTCGCTGTCATCTTTGAGGGCTTTGGCACCACTGGGAATTCTTTGGCACCAGTCCTTCCCATCCAGCTCTCTCTTCAACTTCCGATGCTGTCCATACCCTGTCTCATACTCCTCTTCATCTCCTCACCTCTTCTCCTCCTTTTGAAACACTCACGTTCCTCCACTTTGGTTTCCCTTTGCAGTGACTGGATTCACTTCTTATGAATTTCAGTTTTATCTCTGGCTGCAGCTTTCATTCATTTATTCACTGTGTGGTGCCCCTCTAACAATGTTTTACTGCTTTCATGTCTTAGGGCAGTCAATGGGACAAGAAGAAAAGCTAGTTTAAGTGTAACTGGCTTGTTAGCCATGCAAATTCTTGAATAACAGGTATGATTTAAATTTACCGTGAGAGCTGGGAGTGCTGGAGCTGTAACCCCACTTCTGACTCTGCCACCACCTCCCTCAGTGACATTGTGCAATTTCTTTAACCTCTCGGGGCCAGGTTCACCTGAAAATAAAGAATGTTACATTTTTTCCCCCTATGAATGTGTAAGTCTTAACTAATAGATGTGTATGTAATTTTTGAAGTCCTGTTTATGTAAATGCAAAATGCTTATCTTTTTTCCTTCAAAACATTTACAAAAGGTCAAGAGAATTTTAGGGTTGAAAGATAAACAGAAGAACTAGAAAAATTAAAATTACACACGTATGCACTTATCACAAACCTTTAGGCAGCCTCTAATTAAGTAATCACTACTTCTCAGCATTATAGTAGATGTTATCATAAGCTGTTAAATTGTGTAGCAGCTTGTAATACTGTGCACTCTGTTTATTCAGGATAAGGACTCTCTGGAAATTATTCAGATTAATGTATCATCTTCCGAACGCGTGCTACAGTTGTGCCTAGTCAGGATTGAGATGTTCCCATGCTCAGCTCTACAAAAGCCCGACAGGGAACACAGCTTCTTCCTGACAGGCCAAGATACTAAACTGGAGAGGCAAAGTTGCTTTTTCAAACACACAGACCCTCCATCCCTTGCGAGGCTTAAGCAAGACTTGTTCGTGATGCACGTCTTTGGTGGTTCCCCCCCAGCAACTCGCAGCTTTCACTATGAGAAGGATGCTCAGAAAAGGGTCTTCTCCTGTGGTCTCCAGAATATAACTTTTTCCTTGAGCTTTTACATTCAGTGAAAAACTACCTCACCAAGCACCTGCAAGTGACCTTTCCTGCAGTGGCCCCTATGCTTACCTGCGCCTGCCTTCCTCTCCCTTATCTTCATGCCACCTGTGTCTCCTGACCCCCTGCCTTGCTGCTTCCCTGTCTGATTGTGAGTCTCCTCTGAAAACAATTTTTCTCTTTTTGCTAGTCTTCCCTCCACCTCTGTTATAGTTAACTTTGTACCCCTTGCTGCAGCCTCGTTTGAGACACAGAGCTCAGTTCCTCAGCTTGGCTGAGCTTTGCTTGAAGCATGGAAGAGAAAGACTGGAGGCTGAAAGGGCGAAATTAATCTCCAGCAACAGCAACTTACACCTGGTTGTAAGATCCAAGAGATCCTTTTACCACACCTGGATCACTGGCTTTCACAGACACTGTCTCAGGGGTAGGGAGTGAGGTGATACCCCACTGGTATCTGAGGTTGCCATGGGTGTCCACTTAAAATAGTTTATGCTGCTTAGAGAAGGCAGACTTGAGGTTGCAGAGTGTTAACGTGCTTCAGTGCTGTTCTCTTGATTACCTTGCTCCTGAGTGAAGCTCAGCAGAGCCCAAAAGTCCAGAGCATGAGGTATATTACCTCTACCCCAACACCCTCTGCAATGCTACAAGCACTCGGGTGGTGAAGTAGTAACAGACAGAAGGAGAAGTTAAAGGTGTTAGTGAGGAAATAAGCTGCTTTCTTGAGATTTGAGCCAACATACAGACTAAAGCTGTATGATACGGTAGGAAAACCATGAAGTTGAAGAGCAATGGAGGGAGAAAAAATGATTCTTTTATCGGTAAAGAAAGTCGTTTTAAAATAGGAATGTCACTTTGGGATTAGTAGTGAGATTTGCAAACTTTCATTTTTGTATTGTCATTTATTGTTGAAACATGCCCAGTTGATTTGTCTGGAAATGAGTGACATTAGTGTAGTAGCTGGTGTCATCTCAGTGCAATTTTTCTGGTGACAACTACGTCACCCTCATACATCCTCCCCATCGGCAGTCACGTTTGCTGTCCCATCAGAAAACACCCAACAAGTACCTTGTTATTTATACAGCATCAAGCATTTACCGAGTTCTATATGCGTCCACTGAACCTGGCGGAAATCGGCCAACTACAGTTAAAAGTCATTAAACGGGAGAACCCAAAGAGCACCATTACTAAACCTCAGTTCTTTTGAGAATGAAGCTAATTAAGAATTAGCCAAAGATGCGTGAAGCCGAGGGCTTTCTGCAATGCGAGTGGTGTCGGGACGCTTCAGCCCCTTTGACCAAGGGCCACAAACCCAACCCAACGCCCCGGCAAGCCAGCAGGCCGGCCGACCCCTCAGGCTGCGGGGACAAGGTTCACAGAGGCCTCGAAGGCTGGCTGGGCAGCCCTGTTCGGTTCGGCGGGGGAAGGCCCGCACGGAGCGACGCCGCCATAACGCAACGGGACCGACGGCGGGGTGGGGGAGGCGTCCCCTTCTCCTCAGGGCGCCCGCCCCTGAGGAAGCAGCGCCTCAGGTGCGGCACCGGGGCCGCCCCGCAGCCTGGAGGCCCCCCGAGGGAGCGGCACCAGCGCGGCCACACCGACCCACGGCCGCGGCGCGGAGCCACCCGCGGGCAGGGCAGACCCGACCG